GCAGCATCCAGCATTTAGGACCTTTATGGTCTGATTTAGGTGCCACTCATTTCATACTATTTTTCTCGAATATTCCAGCTTGCTGAATTAGCAACAAGAAATAATTCTTGGCTTCTCATGTCTCACCCTGCCTTGCGATCTTCCAAGTTTCCTACAGCCTGGCAGGTTGGCAGGTGCACGTGCCACAAAGGCACCTCGTGCTGCCCGGTTTCCTTCCCAGCACTGCACTTGGCAGCGAGTTCAGTGCCGTAGCAGCCCGGAGGAAGGACAGGGCAAGGGAGATGCCGGAAGCCCGAAAACAGGCAGGAGGTGGCAGAAGCGAGCTCTTTACATGGACTTGTTTCCAAAAGGCAGACAGAGAAGAGTCCGAGCAAAGCCAGGGCTCCTAAGGAGGGTGGGCGTCCCCTCAAACGCTGCCTGCTGTCGCTTGCTGCACCTTGGCACTCCTGCCTGCTCTGCTTCCCCGAACACTATCGCTCCAGGTCCCACTGCACTTTTGTAAACTGGAACTTCTTCTTTTTGAGACAGAGTCTTGCTCTGTTGCCCAGGCTGGAGTGCAGTGGCACGATCTTGGATCACTGCAACCTCTGCCTTCAAAGAAAGGAAGAACTGTTAGGTGTCATTAGAGAGGGGGTATTACTCCTGTCCCTCCCTAAGAGAAACAAACAAAGTTCTTCCTGTCTTTGCATGGGGACCAACAAGCTACAAGTCATCCACTTCCACCTTCTCCTCAGCAGGAGCAGAATCAGAAACTAAAGCAGCTATCATGGTCCTGGGACAGGGACACAGCAACCCTTAGCTCCCTGCCCAGCCCCAGTGAAGTTCTCCATGTGTAGAAAGCTGCTGAAGGCATGACGACCACTGGCCCTGTGGAGAGGACTGCGAGTCAACACCCACGGCCAAACGGGTCATTCACGATTTTGCCCGTGCACTACTTCCAAAGATCATTGTGTCCCAGGCACAGGACTGGTGCCAAAGAGGTTACAAAGACGAGCAAAACAGGTCTCTGCTCTCAAGAGCACTTTTTTGTATCCTAAGAGATCAGACACAGATGAGCACTGGGCTGTGACTAGAGTAGGGTGGGCCATGTGGGGGGAGGGGCTTCCTGCATGACAACCAGGCACAAGTGACTTCGCGGAGGTCACACCTGGACTGGGTCACAGAGAGGGCTGGAGTGTGGATGCGCAGAGCTGGGCAGGAACAGGAGAAGCAGAGGAAGACAGTGATGAAGACCAAGGTGGCAGCAACAGCCGGGGCAAAGCAGAGAGGCAGGGAGAGCACGGGCGCTGCACGTCACAGAAGTTCAGAGGGAGCCTGGAGGAGCAGGGAAGATGTGGCCGCCAAGACCCGTGCTCAGGCTGTCCCAGTTACTCAGAGCACTGGGCCTTTGGCAGCTCCTGGGCACGACGGCATGAGGATATCCGACTGCCAGCCCCAGCTGAGGCCCCAGCCAGCAGCCAGATCAAGCACCAGAAGCATGGGGTGCGGGCCTGCAGGGGCTTCTGCCCGGCTTCAGAGCTGCCCCAGCTGATGCCACCTGGGCCGCATGTGGGCTGCCTTGGCTGAGCCCTGTTCACACCGCAGATTCCAGAGCAAAATACATATGAGGATGGTCAGCCTGAGTATGTGAGAGGCTTAGCACCCAGCAACAGCCAGCCAGGGTCCCGTGGAAAGCACTCGCTCTCACCCGGAACTCACCTTCTCTACAGGGAAACTGCCAGAGTTGGGAAATGGTTTCCAAGTTCTCACCAAGCTGTGACTCAGTTTCTGCCAACGTACACACAACAGCATCCACTCACACGGTGGCTGGGCAAATGCCGGCCACCCTGAGTCAGCACCCAGTCAACCCCTACCTACAGCCCAGGGCAAACCAACTGCAGGGCAGGAACGCAGCCTCGTGGCAGTTTCTGTGCTGTGTGGGGAGGTGGCCATAGGTGTCGTCATGGGTGGAATCGTGTCCTCCCAAAACAGTATGTTGAAGTTCCAGCCCCTAGTATCTCAGAATGTGACCTTCTTTGGAAACAGGGTATCTGCAGATGCAATCAAGTTACCACGAGGTGATTAGCACGGGCCTCAATCCCATACCGCTGATGTCCTGATACAAAGGGGGGATTTGGACACTGACGGAAGACGAGGTGAAGACGCACAGGGAAGAGGCAGCCGGAGGAAGACGGAGGATTGCAGCGATGCATTGATCTGTCCAGGAATGCCATAGATGACTGGCAAACCACAGAAGCTGGAGGCGGCCAGGAGGGACTCTCCTGCAGGTTTCAGACCAGGCAGGGCCCTGCTGACACCTTGATTTCAGAATTCGGACCTCCAGGACTGAGCCAATATGTTTCTGCTGTTCTGAGCCACCCAGTCTGCAGTACTTTGTCACAGCAGCCAGAGCAGATCTGGAAGGGGTGTGGATTCAAGCCATGCAAGGCCAAGGGCAGAGAAAACAGTCAGAGGAGCTCAAACCAACCTTCTAGACCAGAGGGCAGCACGCCACGGCCCTTGGGTCAAATCCGGCTTCATCATCTGTTTCTGTTTTGTTTATCCATACAGCTTTACTGGGACATAATTCCCGTACCACGCAATTCAGATATTTAAAGTACACATTCAATGGTTTCCAGTGTGTTCACAGAGTTACGCAACCATCGCCACAGTCACTTCCACCTGCCTGTGTAAACAGTTTCACTGGAACACAGCCAAGGTAACTCACTGACGTCCTGTCGGCTGCTTCTGTGCTGCCAGGTGGAGCTGACGGTTGCAGCAGAGACCTACGGCCTGCGAGGCCAAGCATGCTCAGCATCTGCTCTTTGATGGGAGGTGTGTCTTATCCCCCGCTGCGGACGCCCACACGCTTTGCCACGTGGTTGGCATTTGAGGCTGTGCAGGAAGTGCCGTTGTAGGTGGACCTTTCCCTCATCCTGGCAACTGCCTTGAGACTGAGCTTCTCCATCTTTTAGATGAGGCTGACACACCTGCCTCAGAGGCTCTCCTGAGAAATGTCGTGAATGAGTCACAGACTTGAGCCCTTCACGCCTCGAGAAGCAGGCAGGGAGCAGCAGCCAACATGCCTCCTGCTGCTAATCCCTCAGCAGCTTCCCACAAACCCAGCACAAGATCCAGGGTTGCTCTGTGGCCTGCCAAGCCCTAAAAGGGTCTGTCCCTGTCATCATCTCTGACCACCTCCCCATCACATCACCTCTAGCTGATTTAGTCATCATCTCTGACCACCTCCCCATCACATCACCTCTAGCTGATTTAGTCATCATCTCTGACCACCTCCCCATCACATCACCTCTAGCTGATTTAGTCATCATCTCTGACCACCTCCCCATCACATCACCTCCAACTGATTTAGTCATCATCTCTGACCACCTCCCCATCACATCACCTCTAGCTGATTTAGTCATCATCTCTGACCACCTCCCCATCACATCACCTCTAGCTGACTTAGTCATCATCTCTGACCACCTCCCTATCGCATCACCTCTAACTGATTTAGTCATCATCTCTGACCACCTCCCCGTCACATCACCTCCAACTGATTTAGTCATCATCTCTGACCACCTCCCCATCACATCACCTCCAACTGATTTAGTCATCATCTCTGACCACCTCCCCATCACGTCACCTCTAACTGATTTAGTCATCATCTCTGACCACCTCCCCGTCACATCACCTCTAACTGATTTAGTCATCATCTCTGACCACCTCCCCGTCACATCACCTCTAGCTGATTTAGTCATCATCTCTGACCACCTCCCCGTCACATCACCTCTAACTGATTTAGTCATCATCTCTGACCACCTCCCCATCACATCACCTCTAGCTGAGGTTCTGTGTGCTTGCTGGTTTATCATCTCTGTCCCTAAACAGAACGTAGGCTCCATAGAAGGACGTATCTGTCTCATGCAGCACTGTATCTCCAGCTCCTAGAGCAGTACCCAGTGCACAGTAGGTGATAAATATGTGTTGAAAGCACACGTTAATATTAAGCAACACGAGGGTCCTTTATCAACTCCAAAGGCTGCACAGGCATTACCACCTAGGGCCAGGGTCCCCAACTCCTGGGCCATGGACTGGTAGCGGTCTGTGGCCTGTTAGGAACCAGGGTGCACAGCAGGAGTGAGCAGTGGGGGGTGGGCGGAGCAAATGAGCAAAGCTTCATCTGTATTTACAGCTGCTCCCCATCGCTCACGTTACCGCCTGAGCCCCACCTCCTGTCAGATCAGCGGCAGCATTAGCTTCTCATAGGAGCACAAACCCTGTTGTGAACTGCTGATGCTAGGGATCTAGGTTGCACGTTTCTTTTATGAGAATCTAATGCCTGATGATCTGTCCCTGTCTCCCATCACCCCCAGATGGGACCATCTAGTTACAGGAAAGCAAGCTCAGGGCTCCCACTGATTCCACATGATGGTGAGTTATAGAATTGTTTCATCATATATTACAATGTAATCATGACATACATAAAGTGCACAATAAATGCAACGTGGTGAATCATCCCAAATCCATCCCCCTGCCCAGTCTGTGGAAAAACTGCCTTCCACAAAGTGAGTCCCTGGTGCCAAAAAGGTTGGGGACCACTGACCTACTGACCTAGGAATTTTTCCACTCCTTCCTTGTTATCCATTCCTGTTACTCCCTTGCTTATCTCAGGGCCTCAAGAGAAAGCTCTTTGTTAAGTGCTAGGCAAGGATTACCTAAAGATGGTCAGTAGATCATGACCAAGGCCATGAGTCCCATGCAAGCGATCTGAAGTCTGATGCTGAAGGCCCATCAGACAACGAATGTGATGCACGTTGACACTAACTTTGGGCCAGGGCTTCCATCAGGATAACCCTATACCAGCAAAAACCCAGCAGGAAGCACATCTACTAGCTCTTTCTATCCAGGAGACCTTTGTCCTATAGGCAAGTCTGGAAACACTAAAGATACACACACACACACACACACACGAGTCTCTCTCTGTCTGAGATCAAAGTTCTAGGTGAATCACCTCCTACCTGTGTCCGATGCCAGATCACAGATGCCCGGGAGTGGCCCAGCTTGTTCCGGCAGGGTCCCTTATCATAGTGTATCAGAAGGAAATCATCCTGTGAGGGGCAGAGACAGAGACAGCGTGAACGAGCGGTCCCTGCTCAGTTCGGTGTGTATCACGGCCATTGATATACTTCTTCTCCTACGCTCACAATAAGTGGAGACATGGGGAGGTGACAGAGGGAAGGGCGCGCACCCGGGAACACCTGGCCACAGCCACTGCAGGCCCAGGCTGCTCCTGCCCAGGGCCTCCTTTCATCACCCAGTAGCCCTGGACAGCACAGCTTCGGGCTCTAGAGGGAGCTTTGGAGCACACTTCAGGCCCAGCCCAAAGAAGGGCCTCCCCGGCACAGTGGCTGGCTTCTGAGCTTGTGGGAAAGAAGGGATCTCGTGGGAACACACGGCTACTGAACACGCAGGTCACGGTTGCTCCAAAGAGCTCCTGCTGGCCCCGGCTGTGTGTAATTCCACCAGAGTCCCTCTGCCCTGGCAGCTTCCTGCTGCAGTGACAGGGCTATTCCCGGGACTGGATGATTTTCTTTGTTGCTGGCCCATCCCCCTCCGTCGGGTCAGGCTTCTCACCTAGAAAGTGCTTCCTCTCCACTCAGGCCACTCGATTTTCCTCATGATTCAAGATCCAGCCCGGGAAGCACTTTCTATCTGCATCTTCTCAGACCATCCTGAGTGGGCAGTGGCCCTCTGCACTCCGGGCACGCCTCCCTCCAGGCGTCCTCCACCTCACCTCCATCTCCTGGAGCTGGGACCCTCACACAAGTTGCTCTCTCCGTGTTCCCCAGCTCAGCGCTTGGCACCCAGATCTCAACGACTACCCACTGGCATGAGGGGAACGGCATGTCTATACCCAGCCCTCTGCGCCTCCAGGACCGGGAGGCGCCGTTTTCAATCCTGATCAGTGAAGGAGATGGTGAGGCACATGGCACCAGAGAGGCGCAAGCCTGCTGATTCATTCAAGGAGGCTGTAAAATGACAGCTGCTTTTTCAGAAAAGAGCAAATAAACACAGGGCCCAGTGTGCCTCAGGGAACAGGAAGTCACTCTTCCAAAAAACAGGAGGAGCAGGACAGGGGTCACGGCCTTCTGCTCCTTTCAATCAACTCTGGTAAGATAGTTTGGGGGATGCATCCGGCCTTCCTCTTCTTGTGGGGAGGACACCAGCTTTGAGTTTGCTGATTTTTGGGGTCAAGCCTCCTGGTGTCTGAACGTACAGTGAATGGAGAGCCATCAAATCCTGGCTGTTACAGGTGCAGTAGCAGGAGGCTTTGGCTGGGGCCTGGGGTCCCAGCTACCACTGTCCGCCTCGCTTCTGTACCTAGACGCCTCATCTGTGAGAGGAAGGGCAGGAACAGGCAAACACAAAGTCACTCTGGCCACACCTTTCTCTTCCACGATGCTATTTCTGTCCACCTCCATCACTGTGAGCTTTCTCCTCCTTGAACTCTTAACCGAAATTTCCTTTGTGATGATGTTAATTCACACACCACTGAGATGAGCTCATTCTCCATTTGTATGCCTCCATTTCCCAGACTGCCTCGCGCAATGTCTGGCACTGTGGGCTCTTTAAACGGTTTTGAATTTAAACGTTTCTGAAACGCAACGTAAACATTTCTGAAACTCAAACCAAATCCTGTGTACTACCCAGTTGAGAAGTGGTTACTGACCTCCGCCAGCAGACACGGACAAGCCTGGCTGCACACCCGAGTCACCTGGGCAGCTTTTGGAAGCTGAAGATGCTGACTCCAAGGTCTGAGGCAGGGCCCAGTCCTCAAGCTCCCTAAGTGATTCTGATCCATCCTATCCTTGGGAAAAGCCCAGGCCTCTGCGGGGGCCAGGCCTCTGATCTTGGTACACAGTGGCTGTCGTCTGGGCCTCACCTTGTCTTTCCAGCATCTCTGGCCAGGCCACGTATGAGTTCACATCCTCCTTCACCGTGCCCAGGTCTTTGGTGGTAACCTGGCTCAGCACATTCTGTCCTCCCTGGTGAACAAACTCACTCAGCCTTCAAGTCCTCAGCTACCCCGTGGCCCCGAGACCCAGTCACCTCCTGACTCCTCCTTGGGGCCGACAGGGACTTTATACCCTTAGCCATGCAGCCTCCTTCATAGCCTTGTGTCCGGATCATGCCTTACGGGGCTCCTCTGGGAGATGACAAGCTCCTCAAGGTCAAGAACTTCACCCCCCACCCCCATCCCCGCCCTCATCTCACCAGACTCACATGGGGTCCAACGGAGCAGAGTTGCTGACACGCAGTCAGATTTCATGAACAAAATGAATGCTTATTTAAAAAGCACTTTTCTTATCCCCTGATAAAAGCACTCAAATATGGTTTCACAATATAGAAATGATTGACTTGTGATTTTTAATTTCCTGATGAAGCCCTGGGGCTTAGCAATCCCAGGAGCAGCAGGAACGGGGATCTATTTCTGTGGCAGGGAATACTTTCCTCCTATTGTTCAGAGAGAAGTTCCATTCACCTCCAGGGTCAGACGAAACAATGGTGCATGCTCCGGGAAGCTGCAGTCAGGGAGAGGGCTGGTGAAAGCGCAAATGCCCCAGAGCTTTAAATGCTAGCCCCTTCAGCTGTAAAACGTCCACTCGAACTCTGCCTTGACACAGCCTGATCTAACACAAGGATGTGGTTTTTAGAGTTTGAAAGATCAGGGCTGGTTCCCTTCCTTACTAGTTTGAGAAAGATAAACCTCTCTGGCCTTCCTCATTCCAACTCACTGAAATGCTGTGTGTGTTAAGGGAAGCAGGTATCCAGAGCAAATTGTATAATGCTGATCTGGAACAATCACCTCAATAAACATCAACTATCTACTGCCAAAAAATACATAAAAGAAAGAAACGGCACATGTCCCTTTTCTGCAGTAAATAGCAAACGTTGGGCCAGCACTGATCGCTGAGAAGCAGTGAGGATTCAAGGGGAGATGGGCTCGGCCAGGGGCAGATGAGGAGAGGGAAGCAGGGGAGGAGAGGGAGTAAGGACCATGATAGGGAGGAGGCGGTCTGAAATATTCATAACTCCTGGATGTCTGCATGTGCCAGAAAGCACGCTTGGGGGAAACAGGAGAGAAAAGCTCCGTGGAAAGCCCTCCTCCCTCCTCTGAGTGCTCTTGGCTGGCTTCAGGCAGTGCATTTCCGTGCTTGTCCTAAATCACTGTTAATGTCTTCGGTAAAGGGCTCCAGCAGCAGACTCCCCTTCCTTCACATCCGCTTCCTCTGGCCACAGGGTCATTTTTCTTCATGTACAAAGAAAACATAGGAAACTCTGCACGGTCATGAGGATGATGCCTCTGATGGAGGCAAAGCACAGCCTGGTTCCTCTCCATCCGCAAGAGGCGGAACCTGCTTTAGGGTGGAGCTGGACAGGGAGGGCCTTCCTCAGCGACTAGAGCAGAGAAGACACACTCCTGTGCTGGAAGGAGAAAAACAGCAGCTTCCCTCCTCGTCCCTGTCACTCGGTCCAAGCAGCCTGAGGAAACCAAACTTCTGTCAGTCCCTTTCTAACGCAGCTCCTAAATGACCCGCAAGGGGCTCTGTGACAAGGGGCGGGAAATCTGACATTTCACTTTCTTCCTTCTTTAAGGAAAGTTACAAAGAATAATAAATTGTGGGCCAGATATTAGATATTATATCATAACTCAATGATCAGTTTTCAAAAAAAAAAAAACTGGAATACAGTAAAATGCATAAATAAATAAATAAATAAATAAGACCCTGAAGGCCCTAAAAAATTTGGTAAGGCTTCAGATGTCACTCCACAAATCCCCTTGAGGACTTGAGCTAAAGAAAACTCACCTTGTCACGCGGATTCATTAAGCTTGCCTAGGAAGTAAAAATGAAGCCTCAGGATAGAAGATGGTGATATTTTACCCACATTTGGTCAGCCACATCAGGTTCTACTATTAATTTAGTAATTTAAAATTCATAAAGAGACAACAGGCCTTTAAAGGAACAATTCCAAAAGCAGCAATCTAATTTTTTAAGGTAGCCTTTATATTACAGACCTGTTATCATACGTAGTAATATTCCATCTCAAAGAGACACTCATTTTCTTCTAGACAAATCTCTCAGCCTGTGCTTCATTCCACTTTGCCCATTGGTCTGAACCACTTCTCCTTCACCTTGGAAGCCAGAGGTAACCCATCTCAGCCACTGGGTGCCACGTTGACCGGCTCTGAGATAGCCCCATGGTATGAACGCTTGCCCAGAAACACCGGTAAGAAAGAACAGTCTCTGGACAGAAGAACTGCTAACATGGGAAGCATGGACTTGTTCTGACTGCCACACACTCCCATAACCCGCTTTATCTGAATGAGACCTGAATGGCTTAATACTATTATTGGATGGACTGGATACATTCATCCTTGCTGTGCAGAACAGACATAAATATATCCCTTCATGACACACGACTTCATTTGCTTGGACTGTCCTAGCTACAATGGTTTCAATAGATAAGTAGGTCTGCTATTTAATTATAGTTTTATTTATTTATTTTTATTTTTTGAGATGGAGTCTTGCTCTGTTGCCCAGGCTGGAGTACAATGGTGCAATCTCAGCTCACTGCAACCTGAGCCTCCCAGGTTCAAGCAATTCTTGTGCCTCAGTTTCCCATGTAGCTAGGACTACCAGTGCATGCCACCATTGTATTTTTAGTAGAAACAGGGTTTCACTATGTTGCCTAGGCTGGTCTCGAACTCCTGACTTCAGGTGATCTGACCACCTAGGCCTCCCAAAGTGCTGGGAATGCAGGCATGAGCCACCATGCCCTGCCTAATTATAGTTCCTTTAAAAGTATGCACCAATAAACTCTTCTAAACTAAAATCATAGCTTCATCATTTTGGCAAGATGCCCACGCCCTAATATGGGCAAGGAAGGAGAATGAGAAGTGAAATAGCAGCAACCTGTGCATCAGGCCTCAAAGCTCCAGAAAAGCGTGGGCCTGGGAGGTTGTGCCTTCCTGTCAGGGACATGGCTCTTGCAGGCATACACAGAGTGGTGTGTCTGAGACACATTCAGGCAGAGCACATGTGGGAGAAGGCTGCCATATGAAGCTAGAACTCCCATTCTGCCAGAGAGCAAAGGGTTTGCATGTTTTCCTGCCCTGTAGATGACATGAGTGTCAATGAAGTCTTAAAACTGGCCCCAAGCCCAATAGCTCCCCAGCCCCTGCTTCTGTCTGTCCTCACTATCCTGAACACCAGGAAGAAACCCTGATCAAGAACCCAGGAGCCAAATCTGGTATACCCTGATTTTGGATTTCCAGCCCCCAGAACCATGAGAAACAAACGTCTGTCATTTAACCTGCCCCATCTATGATATTATGTCAACAGCAGCCCAAACTGACAATGGCAGTCCCTGCTTAGACAAAATCTATGATCCTAAAACCCCTTTAAATCCCAGGCTGGATCCTGAACCTCCATGAAGTGTTTAGGCCCCAGAACCATACGAGTCACAGAGGCTTCGGTCACCGTGGCGCTCATGAGTTAATGTTTTCCCAAACCCAGGAGAAACACCAAACAGTGTTCCTTCGCTGTTCCACAGGAGTAAGCACCAAGCTCTTTAGGAAATAGCTGGTCTAGTTTTCTCATTCCAAATCTAAACCTCAAAGCTAAATGCGCAAGATGACATTGAAGGCCGTACTCACGTCCAGAGACTCCAGGCAGTACCAGCAGAAGGCGTGCTTGCAGTTCTTGCACATCATCTGGGCGCAGCCTTCGTCTCGCTCGATGTAGACCCTGCACTTGGGGCAGCGCTTGATGGGCGCATCGTCCTCTTCCATTTTGAACGCAGCACTGTGGGAGAAACGCCGTGAGGACCCTGCACAGACAGATCCCACAGGAGACCCAGGAGCATCGGCTATGCCGGAAGCATCAGTTTCACTTCACAGACTGAGTTCTCTTGGTATTAGATGAAAACAAAAAACAAAAAACAAAAAACAAAGAACCGGAAACTCCAGAAAAAAAAATTAACCAAAACACTGTGAATCAGCCAATTTGAGTTAGGAAAAATTAAAAAAAAAAAAAAAAAAAAAACACCAGCAACATCAGCACGTATCTAAATTTAGAGATATTATGTATATAGACAAAAGAAAATACAGCAAAAGGCTTATTATAACGGAGGTATCTGAATAATCATGTTAAGGTCAAACAGTGTCTGCTTAGTCACAGAGCTGTCTACTTTCCAAAGGGTTGATATAAATTGTATGTACTTCGCTGTTAAAAGAAAAATAAATAAATGTTGCAAATGCACACACATAAACACACACCGTTCACTTGGATAGATCCACCTGGCTCTTTTTACAAAATTGTTTTCCTCAGAAGTTGGCTAGGTCTGCAGGGTTAGCACAAAGGGCTTTAAGCTGAGGTCAGGGTCGGCTCTGCTACAAACTAGCTGGGAAGCAACTCTCCAAGCCCTAGTTTTCTCATCAGTGTGACCGTGAGAAAAGATTCCGTGTGACAAGAGCACAGTGCAGGGCTGCAGCTTTTATGAAGTGCTTGATAAGGGGCCGTAGTAGTTCAATGTTGCTAAGAAGGATAACACAGACATTAGGTATGACTCACCTCATGCTGTTAATTTTTAAAAGATGGGTAAGAACATTCATAAAAGCATCTGAAGGAATAAATGATAAACTGTTAAGAGAAGTGATCACTGATTATGGGGGTGCATTTGCTACTTTGTTGAACTCGCGAAGTTAAACCAACATCAGCAGGAGAAAATGCATGCCTCCTTTGCAGTGAGTCGCTTTTTCAGAATTTAACACATTTGTGAGTGTATATTCACTGAAGTTGGACAAATTCTGGCATTCTGAGTGCATTCTGGCTGAAGGATCTCTCACAAGCTTCCTAGTCAATATGAGCATTAAATGTAGTTTCACCTTAGTATGAGCCATCTGATGATTGGCAGTGAACAATCCTCCACTTGGGGTGCACATTCCAACTGAACGTGACTGTTTGGTCCATTAGTAGAAGGCAACAGGGTAAGAAATAATGAGAGAAGCAGTATGTCCTCCTAATTAGGAGCACAGAGTCTTGAGACAGACAGATCCTAGCTGTGTTATTTATGTCTTATGTGTCTCAGTTTCCTCGTCTGCAAAACAGATGAAAAAGGCTAAGAGCATCCATCTCTACAGGCTGTCGTGAGAATTACAGAGGTTGCACATGTTAAGCGCAGAAGCCAGCACATAAGTACCAGGCACTCAATAAACAGTAGTTATTATTAAGACCTGTTACTGAAAGATAACACAATGGTCACTAGCTCAAATGCTTTCAATTTAAAAGCAAACTGCAGACCAACCTGGCCACGCAGGATGTGATAAAGAATGAACTAAGGTTGCTGCCAGGAGCAAATGAGATAGCATATGTGCAAATGTTTCCAGAGGGATCCAGCACACAGCCAGCTCCGAGCAAACCGTAGCCCTGGCTTGCTTCTGAGAATGACTTTGATTTTGCAAAAAGCTGGAAGTCATGAGACACCGAATCTGGTGATCGAGCTTGGTTTTCAGGTTAGATAACACTGTTTTGGTTTGAAAGCCAGGCGTCACCTTAAAGCTAAGAAACCAGTTCTCTCATGTGACTCACAAGATGATTTTGAACGAAACGGCAGGAACACCATGTACAGTGTCTCCTAGGGAGACATTTCAAGATGAAAACAGTTAAAATATGCAAGTTCTGGTGTACTGTGCTATGCATAAAATTTTGCATGATATAGATAATGGTTTTCAAATATTTCCTAGTATCTGAGTTGGATTTAAAATTATTACTAATAACACCTACTGTAAACTCATTATAAATGCAGACAAGAGTTTTGACAGTTTAATCACAATCTACACGTGGCCCAGCATCTTGAAGGGGCGGGCAGGTGATGCTAAATGAGTGAAGTGGTCAAGGGGCTGGATAAAAACATGGGTGAGGAGAAGATTTAACCAAAAAAAAAAAAAAAAAACCCTCCAATACAAAAACTAGCTGAGTGCCTTCTCACTTATAAATGGCAGCTGATAGGCAGCCTCAGTTCCAGGGGGACAAGAAGGAGCGTGAGGACTGTGGGGCTTTGGCCCAGGAGGTGCCCCAGGCAAGGGCCGCTGCTCTGCTGTGCTGGCTGCCAGCAGGGGGAGGCAGGCTCGGAGGGGCTCAGGATTCAGATTTCCCAGAGAAGCCAGAAATTCCAGTTTTTATGTGACATCTTCTGATTTTTAAATTTCCACAAAATGAGATTTCTGAATTTTGATTTAGATCGCCTTTGGAGAATAATTTAAATGAGACTAGAATGTCACAGATAAAGAAAACTAAGTCATCAGGCTCCAAACACTCACCAGCCTCCATCTAACGTTTTGAAGCCTCTAAGATGCCAAGTACAAGTGAAGTATAAGTACAAGTGGTTTGTGCTTGCAGCTGCCTGCCTGATGTAGGCTGCTCAGAAAGGCACAGGCCCTGTGCGTCAGGAGCTCAACCTGATGGCAGAATCGGCCCTGTCAATGGAAGAACTCCAATCCAATTATGTCCAGGGTTGTAACAATGCAGACAATCTCAGGGGGAACACGGAGGGTGGAGGCCCCAACCCTGTCCTGGGAACTGGGAAGCTTGATAAAGGGATGTGATCTCCACCTGAAGTGTGGCAGGAGCCCCCAGGGAAAGGAGGAGGGCGGAGCAGGGCGCTCCAGACACAGGAAGAGAGGTTCGCCCGCAAGGAGACCAGGGGTGTGTGGCAGGGACCCTGAGAGGGTCTGGGGCTAGAACAGGGCACAGGGGTCACGTGGAAAGGAACGGGAGTTGCAGACAGTGGAATGGGAAGAGGGGCACACAGGGAGCAGCTGGTGAGCACACCCTGGGGAGGGTGGTGGGCAGAGTGGCAGCTCCTCTGTGAGGATCCTGGACTCAACAGGAACAGGGTCAAGTGTCTAGTGGAACCATGTGACCTTGCAGATTTTGTAGGACAAAAACACCTGGATATGATCAACTTCCTATGCATCAACCTACGAAATGTCACGGTACAGAGCACAGCGCGGCAGCATCCTCCTGGGCAAACAGCCCGACTATGGCTGCAGGGGAGGCTGCCACCAGGGAGTGTCTTCCCATCCCCTTCCAGACAGTATTTATGACCGGGGCACCCTACTCCTGTTCTTGTTCCTGTACCCCCATTTCAGATCACCTTCAACACAGTGAAGTCTTGGAGAAACTTCAGGTACTGCAGGACTTGCAACCCTTAGAAGTCACAAACCATGCATGCATTTGTCATTCTAGCCGAGCCGTGTTAAGTGTGGTTCTCACACACCTTTCTATTTCCAGGGTCTCACACAGTGCCTGGTACACAGTTCTCAAAAATAAATAGACATACAAATAATGACAGGCTTGAGTGAGGCTCAAGAGGTACAGCGTGTGTTAGGGTTGACTGAGCCACAGCCACTTACACTGTAACAGCACTTTTAGGAAGAAACATGCCTGCCTGCTTCTCCTGGCCCACAGCCCACGCCTTTGTGGCAGAGTGTGTACAAAGGGTACCTGGTCTCCCCGGGAAGGAAGGTGATTGGCATGGTCTCCGGGCAGCCCTGGCCAGGGTGCCAGCTGGCTTTGCAGGTGGAACAGAATTCCATATGGCAGGCTTTGCACTGCACTGGCTGGGGGGTCTGCAGCCCCACGTCCTGGAGCTGACACACAGCCTGGCAGGTGGACGCTGGGCACCAAGTCCGACAGGGATCAAACAGCACCTCTGGTATAGGGAGACAAAATGGGCAAATCAAACTTAAGCCAGAGGGTCATGTGGGCTTCAGAGGAAGGAGCCCCTCAGTGCACGGACAGGAGGAACACGTCCAGGTAATACAGCCAGCACCACCAGCCCCAACCGAAGCACTGCCCAAGTCACGCTTCCACCTCCACCTCCCAACTTCTCCCTTCATGCAACAGACCTCCAGACACCCCAGGCATCCCTCAGGATTGCTGCTCCTGTCTCTGGAATGCCCTTGGAGCCCTGGGTCAGCCCTGCTTGCCTCCGGGACTCAGCTCACAGCTCAAAGGCCTCCACATTCTGGAAAGCTTCTCCCACCTGCCTGTCAGGTTTCCCTGAGCAACGCACATTGTGCTAGCTCATCTGCCTCCCGTAGGGGACAGCTTTCTGAAGCCGGGCCCCTGATGGCCCGTGTTGGGCACACACCCAGCACCAGGAAAACGCTGTTAGAAGACGGAAAGGAAGACGGAAGAAGATGGCTGGATTATTCTTCTAACCAAATAGTTCACCTGCCTAAGATGGCCTCCCCTTCTCAAATCCAAGCCATGAGTTAACTACGGAGTGAAACCAACCCTTCAAGGGCCAGATTTTCTCTCCGAATCACAGCGCACATTTCTAAGAGCCCGATCTTATGGAATTGGCCAAGAAGCTTATTTCTAAAAACAGGACACCTTGACACATCTATTTCTTCACATCCTTGTCCAAAAATTGCATTTCTTTAAATTACTGGCTGCCCTTTGTAAGGTGACTGGTTGTTCATTTCATCTTCCCTCTTGTCCGGCATGACGCCGAATTCTCGATGAGGGGCCACCCCAGGGAGAAGGAAGGCTCTGCCAGAAAGCTCTCCGAGGCCAGTGCAATGTGGGCTATTTCCAAAGGCGTTCTGGTGCACCACTGGTTTCTAAGTTTTCAGCGAGGCTCTTCTTGGGAAGTCGTCATCTGTCGGGACAACTGAGTTTCAGAGATGACTTGAAAGGCGATGACAAGTCCTTGCAAATGTCCGGGCCCTGCGACTGGCAGCCGGGCAGCTCCCGCTCACCTGCATCACACATGGGATTCCTCTCACTGGGATCCACAACAGGCTGGCGCCACGCGTGGACCAGGACTTCACCTACACGCACTGCCACGGGACCAGCAGCAAATTAATGACAAATCACCAGCTGGGTGTCCTGACGGTGCACACGCATATGTACGTGTAAGGCTCTGTGTGTTTACATGTTCCCCCAATACACGGGGAAGCCAGATTCAGCGCTCTAGAAACCATCTTGTGGAGGGTCTAGCTTTGAGCTAATCTAGTCATCTAATCCAGGGGCTGGCAAACTTCCTCTGTAGAGGGTCGGACAGTCATCATAGAAGTCGAGGACCAAGTTGTTTCTGGGTTTCTGTACTAACTACTGGGCTTTGCTGTTGCAGCACAAAAGCAGACACAGTGACCTGGAAATGAATGTTCTAGCAAAACTTGACAGCAGCAGGCCACTGGCCGGACTGGATCTGGCCCACTGGCCATGGCAGGCTGACCCTTGATCTCATCTGGCTGCTCCCTGCCTTTTTTTTAAAGCGTGAATTAATCAACAGCACAAAAACTGTCCGAATGTTAGGGGTGGTAGAAGATTAAGCAGAACTTGATAATAACGGGAACGCTGGAGGTCAGGAACAGGTGCTCTACTCTAATTATCTTCATTAGAATAATCTAAAATCCCCAGGGTGCTCCTCATAGTGAGTGAATGGACACAATTAGCTCTTCTCTTATCTGTTGATAGTTTCTGCATTTGCTTTCCTAAGAATGTTCCTAGCTGTCAGTTCTGACAAGTGGCTTTTTGAGAAAATGTAGTTGTTGTCTGTGGGTCACCTGTGTGGGGGCAGATGCCTGGGGCTCCCCTGAGCTGAGGGTCCACAGCAAAGCAAGGAGGGGCTGCACGTGCTGGCCTGGGGCACTGAGCGCCACACTGAGCAGCGAGGAGTAAATGCCAAAGGCTAAAGGCAGCTGGCCTGGGTCACGCTCCCATCCCGTACCTGCGATGCCTCCAACAACTCTCTGCCTGCTGTCTGTGCATGCTGTGGGGTGAGCCCAGCTTTGTCCCTGATGAGATAGGAGGCCCGTGTCTGCCCAGCCCTGCAGGAGGATGCAAGTGCCCGTGCACTGAACAATACACTGCGCGCGAAGAGAAATCCTCGCTCACTCTTTGCTCTCCTCCCGGTATAGCTCTGGGGCTAGACCCAGAAGGGCAGTGCTGCCTGCTAGGGACCCTTCCCCTAGCAGGGTTGTCCCCACCCCTCCTGTGCAGTGAGGAGCTTCTGACATCAGCAAGAAGCAGATGTCCCAAAGCTGGGTCTCGGTATCTTCATGCACGTGATGGTCATGCACCGCCTCCTGCCCAGCCTACTGGTTCAAGAGTGGGAGACGCTATTATGCGCCCCCATCACGAAAGGCCCCCCAGGACAGCACGCAGGGGAGACCTGGCTAAGGTTTCCATGGGAACGATTTAAATCTTATTAGTTTTGTCCTCACAGAGCTGTCACTTGGCACTGCCTGTCCTTATACAGACAGATTCCTCATCGAAAAGGTCAGGGACAAATGGCTGCTCAGACTGCTGACTGCAAACGTGCTTCCTGTGCTGCCAGGGCACGTCACACCCTGTGAACATGGCCCCAGGCTCAGGTGTAGATGTCTATTAACATTCTGCATTATCCTCCCCATTATCCTCCCCAACACGTACTACATACGTGTGTAGTGTATAAGACATATTTTCAAACAGAGCAAATAATATATTTTTGGCACACTAGAGGAAACTAATGTTAATTCTTATCTCCCAGAGGTGTATTCATCGCAGATTAATGAAGTGGGTCTCTAAGAACTCCCTGCTTAAAAATGCCTAAGACTTTTTAAAAAGGTGGCTTTCCTTTTAAAACAGTTTCCTTTCAGAAGCACATGACAGATGACAGTGCACCCAGCATCCCCTCTCATCCCTGCACTTACTACCCTGCCCAGCCGGGCTGCTGCCTGGCGCAGGGCTGGAATGCTGGGTTTGATCCTACTGTGAGATAGTAACATTTTCAGGTGTTCGCTCTAGTCGGGCCTGATTACAGGTGGATAACCCGTTGTATTATTTAATCTCTCTGAGCTTTACTTTGTTTTAAAAAAACAAAACAAAACAATACATGGTGAGATTTGACGTCAGCATTCACTTGGCCAGGCACTGGGCTGGCAGTGGGACGTAGGCATGAGGACCCACAGTCCTGTCTCTGGGACGGTTGAGCCTCCAGACAGAGGAACGTGCGCAGGAACGCCCTTAGCACAGCACCGCTGGGTCTCAGAGGGGCACGGGCGTCGAGTGTAGCATGGAGAGAGGGGTCCACGCAGTGAGAGGCATCCACACCCCTCGCTCAAGAATCTGTCCCTCCCCAGACTCTGGAGTGAGCCAGTTGTGAGGAGGTGCTCAGAATGAAAACCCAGCTTCCTGGCCCCCTTCCCTGGCTGCCCGCTTGCTCCAGAAGGGGAAACATGGACACTAAATCCAATGTCTCCTCTGTTACATCAGAGGAGACACTCTAAGACTAAATGCAGACAGTGTGCGCAATATGACCTAACCATAGAACTTTCTGGTAACTAAATGTTTTCAGAAAATCATTGAACTGTCTCAGTTTTCTTCCAGAGCATCCTCTACTTGACTAGATTTTAGAGGCACAGAGAAATCAAAATTTGCTTTCTGATCTTGTCTCCAAACTCTTTCAAGGTGCTGGCTATAATCCATAGCTATATTTTAGGTCTGACATTCTAACATTTTATCTAGACAGGTCTTTTATTGTATTAAGTCTGAATACTTAAAAAAATACTTTTAACATAATGTTAGTAAAATGTTTTAAAGTGAGAGGTTTGAGAGATTTTTTTTTTAACGGAAGCCAAGTTGGCTTCATGTTTATGCAAAAGGAAAAAAGATTTTTTGACTAAGCCAAAGTACTAAAGAAATAACAGTTAAAATTATTAGGTTGGAAAATGTACCCAGCTACATTTTAAAATTAAATTCAATGTCATAGAAAGTTCATATTCTTGTAACGCGAACAACAGCCAGTTTCTGTCAAGATTCTCTCTGGAAAATATTCTCAGAAGAGCCTGAAAGTCTCAGAAATCCAAATTAATCCGTTTTATTGCTCTACATACTGACTTTTGTACCAAATGACATTATTAAAGCTATAAACTGCCCCAAAGCAAATGATATACGACACTTAAATAAACACACTCTTGAAAACAAATGGCAATGCCATGAAAAATCCTGCTTGAGTCTTTTTTAAGTAGGCTACATATTTTTTTTCTTTCTTATTTTTTTTAAAGACAGGGTCTCGATACGTTGCCCAAGCTGGACTTGAACTCGTGAGTAGCTGAGACTGCAGGTACATGCCACTGGGCCCAACTATCTCTAGCATTTCTTTTACACAGCAAAAATATACAAACAGCAGGTCTCTGCATGCAGCTAAACTGGGAGTCTCTGGATATTGTCCTCTGGTCTCGTCTCCTCTGGGTCCACTCCCCATCCGGCCATGCTTTCACGTAAGCCCACCCTCCAGGGCTGTGTCTCAGTAGTGAGACCCTGTTCAGGTCAAGAACCCGAGAATCCGTGCAGGGAGAGGGAGAGCAGGTGCCAGCAATCCAAACCCAGAATCCGTCTGCAGGGTCCTCACGATGATGTTCTGCATAAGGAGTGTCGCCTGCACACATCTGTCACTCGGCTCTTTAGCAGACGAGCCCGGGGCCCAGAAGAGATATGAAAACAAAGCCAGACAGAGTCCACAGACCCTTTACGGTTTCATTGTATGAGCCCGGAGTACTTCAGAGAGCAGAGCTAAAGACCTCTCCTGGACCTTCCACATGGCTTAATGCTTTGCAATATGATCCTGAGAATCATACTCTGCTCTGTGCGCACCTGCCACACTGCTCTCCCAGAGGACCCCTGGGTCTGCATCAGGCCTGCTCCAGCCAGGAGGGCTATGCAGGGCCCAGTGGAGAGCACATGACGAAAGGTCATGGGATGTGGTCCCAAAGCACCCACTATATTTAGAAATCAGGGCAAGTCAGTTAGCCTCGCTGGGGATCCGTTTATTAGATAATGACAAATTAGCTTTGCAGAGTTGTTGTGTCACTTACTGGGATAAGGGACTTGATTATTCATTTAGCACCTACTATCTAGGCCTGTGTCCAGTGGTGAGTAAGTGCAGACAGGACAGCTACCATTGGACTGTTGTTAGGACGGGGGTTACTGTAATTTCTGCTATGCCTACCCTCATGACTTCCCTCTGTGACTTTGCATTTTTTAAATTCTGGGCCAGCCCAAGAGTTTAACCCTCAAACTCTTAGCCTTAAGCTGGCTGAAATCTAATACCTCATGAGAGCCATCATCTTTAAACCTCCCCCAGGAGCCTATAAATCCCTATAAACAAATTGTGTTCCATAAATTCTTCCTGCTACCAAACAGATCACTAGACAAGGTCTTCAAACTGTGGGCTGTTCAGAGAATCCAGAATGTCAGTTTAATTTCAGAAGTTTAGTTTACATCAACTTTTTAACTCCTATCAAATGCTGTATAACCATAGCTACCAAAAGAACTCCCCACAAAATTATCCACATTCATACATTACAGGAACCATAACTGGCAGACATATCAGGCACCTACCTCTTTCAAATTGTAGCTTTTTATATCTTTGCATAATTTCAGCTGCAACCATGCACTCAATCTAAGGGAAAAAAAATGCAAACAAGAAAGATAACAAGCTGAGGGCTACAATATAATGCAATGTACACCCAAACAAAACCCACGTTATTCTGACAAGTTCAGCTGTGCATGCTAGAGCACATCAAACAGCCCAGTCTGTTCAATTGCACATGCCTCGTTCTCCTGTAGGTGGCCCTGTTTAGGGCAGGCAGCATCTGGGCAGCTAATTGCGGTTTCTAATCCTTCTTTGATCAAGAGCTCAACATACTGTTTCAGGCACTGAAAGAAAAACAGAGAAGGGTCTATAAACATCTTTACCTCCTTAATGCTGAAGAAATCATGATGCATTAAAAAAAGGACCAGGCACATTGTTGCATTACAGTTTAATATTTTCACTGTCTAGCCCACAGCAACCAACAAATTCGAGGTTTTGAGGTTTTATTCATTCAATAACTATTTATGGGGTACCCATTCTGTGCCAGGGACTGTATGCTCAATCACAAAGCTAAGGCTATGGGTTAGATCCCCGCACAAAACCTCAGCAAACACAAGAGCCAAGAATTCTAAAAGCAAGAAGAAAGGCTGCAAGAGAGGCTGGGAGGTAATATTTCTCAAATGCCTATGAGATGCAGCCACTGCATTAAATATTTTATCTCCCAGTGTTTCACTGAAGCCTTAGAGCATTTTTACAAGAAAGGTATGACTGTTCCATTTTTCATATGTGAAAACTGAGTCAGCAAAGAAGGAAGTTGCCAACTTCCACAGATAGTACCCAGAGCCTCGATGTGAACCCAAGCTTGCTCAGACAACATGCTCACGTTCTCCCTGCTGAGAACCCAACTGTATTTGGCATTCCTCACTCAGGGTGCCTCACTTACCTGGCAATTACTCACTATCTACCTTACCTACTTGGAGGCCCTGCTTAAAGCCTGAAGTAAGTCAAACAAGAGGAAGTGAAGGAAACGAAGTAGAGTTAACATAAAAGATTCTGTGGTCTTCACTCCTGCTTTACAAAGTCTACTAGTCTTAGAAATCTAGCATTCCCTGAAAAGCATATTATAAACAGCAATGAGAAGAAACAATATGGCCTTTGCCAGCTAGGCTCACTACCAAGAGAAACTAGATGTAGAGCTTATATAAGAACTCAAAGAGCATAGAAAATGATGTAAAATCCCACAATGGCATCCCCAAATCAACTTCAATCACAGTCCCAGTATAATTAAAGTTCATATTAGCAATAATATATAATATTACAATACCATTATTAAAATATAATAGCAATTAATCGAGAAAAATCCATACGCTATGTTTGCTGATACCTCCCCGCAAAAATGTATAACCCATTTTATTACAAGAATGTATGATCATTACTAATGAATGGGTCTAAACGGAAATCCAACTGCAATTCCTTCTACCTCCATGTTTAGAACAAGTCTGTTAATCTCTCTCTACCATCCTTATTTTCCTGCTCTGCAATTTAGGGTGGTTTAACCTACCTCACAGTGGAGTTGTAAGAATCTCAGGCAAGGGAAAAAGTTTAGAAGAATACACAGAAAAGAGTATATGCTTGATATATAGAGAATAATTTGATCTAAACTGGTAATACCCCCCATCCTAGCAAAATAGAATATTTCATTCACTGAAGACTCCAGATTGCAATTTCTTTAAAAAATAAAAATCAACGTCATCCTCAGAAAGAGCCACTTCTCAAAGCTTTTCTCAAGAGCTACAACTTCAAGTGCAAATTACAACGTTGGTGGCTCCACACTGAACCCTGTGTTCCAGCCTGTGTTCTTTTGATCTGCCTGGGCTCTGATGATTGCAGTGGCTCTGAACTGAGGTTTACACAGATAATCCACATTTTGCCAACCTAAGGTTTACGAAGACAGTTCCCAGAGTAGTGAGTATGGACGAGCCCAGGCTTGGAGTTCTACGTGAGACTCCAGATGGCAGAATTTTCAGAGATGAATTCATTAAAACCAATGCAAAGGCTTTTCTCAGAACAAGGGAGAGGCAGAGGATGAGCAAGAGAGGAGTCACACCCAGCCTCCAGCAGGGCTGCAGCCTGGTCCTGGGTAGTATCCGCCGACATGTTAAGTGCCAGTGGCGCTGTGGACTACTAGAGTGGTGAATCATTGTAACAATGAGCTGGACAGTTGGCAGATCAGTGGAACTTTCTGTTTATGACTGGGTGCCACATGACAAGGGAGAAAGACTGTAGGCTTCGGAGCCAGACAGGCTCAACCAATCCATGTCCCTCAAGTCAGAGTTTGGGCAACAGCTCCCTTGACAATAAAATCAGAATGCCCATCTCCCTGCACTTTTGTGACAGTAATCTATGAAAGCACCTGGCATAATTCCTGGCAGACAGCACCAGCTACGTAAATAGTGGCTGTTGTTTCTTTTTTGTCTACTTACGTGATATGTCTCTTACAGTTATAGGCATTTAAAAATCCCAAAACCTTGGCAACAAGATCATTATTTTACTTTCTATTATGAAGTTTGTCTAAATTGGGTCTCTGGAGGATACTGGAATGCCTTAAACCAATATACGATACTGGAGACTCTCAGAATATTGTGCAGATCAGCATATAATGATAGAACGTGACTCTTCTAAGAAGCAAAATACAACAATTAAAACCGGCATGAAGCGTACGTACACCCATATGCAACAAATAGTGAGTCATGTCTGGGTTTCGAAGCTACCCAAGAGTGAACATTATGTGTCATCAGGATGCAGCTATCTGTGCAATTTGCAAAAGGATTATGTTCTGGGAATATCAATTTGTTCACTATATAAAGAGAGATGAGGTTCCAAGCGCCTGACCTTGCATCCATCAAAAACAAGCCCAGCTTTCTTCCAGATATAAAGTGGGTCATGACTCACAAGCTATGGTTTTCATTCTAATTGCAAAAAGATGTCTTGACATGAGCACAAAAATAGGTAAACAGAGAAACTTCTGTAAAATACACAGCCTGAAAGCAGACACTGACACATTTTCCTACTATTGCACTCATTATAGTAGTCAAATGCTTTCTAAGTCCTAGATTCTATGTGAATCGCATTACCTATGTTAGCTCATTAAACATGCACAAAAGTCATATGGTGTGTTACCACGCTCACACGACAGATGAGAAAACCAAGGCTCAGAGACGTTAACAACAGCTCAAGTAGAAGCACTAGGGCTCAAACCCACGTGTGGCTGGTTCCAAGGCTGGTGAGGTTTTACGTTTGTCTGTTTTAAATTTTTTGCATACTTACTCCTCAATTGAAAACTTTTACATGAGCCAGTTTAGAGATCTAACATACAACACGAGGACTAACTTTAATACAATTGTATCGTATCAGGGATTGTTGTTAAGTGAGAAGATTTTAGCTGCTCATCACCATAAAAAGCAGCTATGTGAGATGATGAATATGCTGGGCTGCTTCGCTATATGACCATTGTATTATCTATATGTATCCCATAATACTACGTTGTAAACCTCAAATACAAACAATAAAATTTATTTTTTTAAAAAAAGAACTCTTTCAAAAGCAATCATTCAATACGTATTTTCTGTTTCCCTCATAAACTTTTTTTATAGACAAGGAATCGTGCGTACTTTAAAGGGGCATAGTGTCAGTCAACCCTGAGAACATCTCCTTTGTATGCTCATGCTGCTGCAAACACAATGATTCATTTGCAAGGCTGCAAATGCGATCAAGACCCACACAGCCCAGTGTGGAGGAAAGAGGCGTGCAGAGATCATCATCACAATGCACTGTGCTACGTGCTCTCCTGGGGCCACTTCAAGGGGACAGGGAGGCTCTAACGGGCCAGTACATGGGTAGAGAGGAGGGGTCCCCCCTGGGGGGGATCAGGGAAGGCTTCCCAGAGATGAAAATTTGGCCAGAGGGTCAAAGGCATTGCAGGAAAAAAGGGATCAGCCACACAGAGGGAAGAAAGGGGGGTAAGCCACAGAATGTTCCAGGAATTTCATTTTCCACTTTGGTTTCCAACTCTTTGAAACCTGATGAGGAGACAGCACTGCTGATTTGCTAATATACCTCCGGTGCGTCACAAGTTTCCTGCCAAGGAGAAGCGGCCACGGAGAAATATCTGCCTCGCCTAAAACTACAGCAAGTCTGATTTTTGTCTGCTTTTTCACACGAAGGCCTGTTGGCTACTGATGACCCTACAAGCAGGAGAAAATGCCCAGAAACTGTGCTCAAAGGTGCTTATCTGGGATCCACGATTTATGAACACAAGCATTACATGCAGGCAGGTCCAAACTGAAGCAGCAAGAGTCCCATGAACAGTGGTTGGGAGCAAAGACCCTGGAATCACAAGGCTGCCTTGAAATTACAGCTCACCCACTGTGCAGACATGTGGGTCTAGCATGGACCTTCGTCTCCCAGTGCCTCCCCTTCCTAATACTGTGGGATAAGCTTGGCGGACAGAAGGACAATCACTCCACAGCTCCAGTGCCCCGGAGACAGTGGTGCTCTGGCATATTGCTCACACGCTCTGCAAGGCTTTCTCTCAGCCTTTCTAGAGCCATCAATAATCCATGGTCTGTTGATGTTTCTCCTCTAGTCGATGGTGAATTCTTTGAAAGCAAGATCTATTAATTATTTATCTTTCTATTCCCATACCTAACAGAGTGCTGGCAAACAGCAAGGGATGAATCAAAGTCATGCAGATACAGGGTGGATGGAAGGACACAGAGATGAGTAGAACACCCACAGAGTAGCCAGACACCTGGCAACACCTGGCTGTAGTTAAGCAGGCTGGAGGCATGACCCCCTGCACACCTTCCCTTCTGAGGACAGCCTCATGGGAATCCCCCTGGCAACTCTCACTGGGTGGCCCTGGGAACCTGGAGCGAACTGCCCAGCAAGCTACACAGTACGTGTTCTGGCAAGGATCACTTTCCTCAAGGATATGGGAACGTGACTTCGCTCACAAGCTGAAGGGTTCAAATTATAAAGTTTGCTTTTATAAAGTTCTTGGGAAAAAAAACACAAAACAAAACCCAGACTTTACGCATAAAATGAATGCTCTCATCTACATGAGTTCTCGCTTCTGTCGAGCCTTTAGACCCGCCATCTCCTGTGCCCTCGCCACAGCCTTGGGTGGCGCGCAGGAGGCAGGCGCTCATGATCAGCTGCTTCAGGTCGCGATGGGCGTGCTGCTCCCCTGCGCTACCTTTCTCCCAAGGTATCTAAGACTAAGGCCCTTCAGCTGCAGAACAAGAAGATGATCCTGCTTTGCAGGGGGCATCCTTGCTGGAAG